TACTTTTATGTACAAAATAATGAGAGGAATCAATTGATGTAAAGAAAATACATAATTGTTTCGAAAAAACAAAATGTAATTTGCAATTAACAGTTACATTTTTTTTAAAAAACAATTATGCGTTTTCTTTACACCAATTAATTCCTCTCATTATTTTGTACATAAAAGTATTAAGGTAAGATAATCGAAAAATGAATATTTTACAAGATATTTTACGGTTTATGTAAAATTAAGAAATTATTTGAAGCCTCATAACTCAAAAAGTACTCAATGAATGAATACTGTATTAAAGTGTTTTAGAAAGCTCTTAAGACAAGCTATACGAATATGCAATAAAAAATAAGGGGTTCCATTTAAGAAATTTAAAATAACCTTCATGTGACCTTAACGACACTCTTCAAGGTCATAGTAATATTACTGTGTAATGCGTCATTTAAGACCTTACAACTTTTGTCTGAAACATTTTCCCACAAGACCACTATTTTCGGAGATATTTGACCGTTCCCATACTTATCTAACATCCTGTATATACAGTATGTATATTTATTTCCGAATATATATCCTAAATGCGCAATTTTTGAGATAGAATATTAATTGTGACGGAAGCAGTACATACAGGGTGGCCCATTTTAATTTCCCCAGCCAAATATTTCGGAAAATAATGAAAAATCAAAAAAATGTTTCAGACAAAAGTTGTATGGTTTCTAGGGGGACATAAGATGGTACCATTGGTTTGACCTTGAAGAGTTATTTGAAGGTCACATGATGGTCACCTTCAATTTCTTAAATGGAACCTACATTTCCTCATTACATATTCTTGTAGCTTATCTCGAGAGCTTTCCAAACTATAATAAAATATTTTTTTATTGAGTACTTTTCGAGTTATGAGGCTTGAAATCATTTCTTAATTTAACATAAACCGTAATATATCTAGTAAAAATATATATCTAGTAAAATATTCATTTTTCGATTATCTTGTTTTAATACTTTTATGTACAAAATAATGAGAGGAATCAATTGGTGTAAAGAAAATACATAGTTATTTTTAAGAAAAAATATGTAATTTGCAGTTAACAATTACATATTTTTTTTTTGAAACAACTATGTGTTTTTTTTTACACCAATTGATTTCTCTCATTATTTTGTACATAAAAGTATTAAAGCAAGATAATCGAAAAATGAATATTTTACTAGATATATATTTTTACTAGATATATTACGGTTTATGTTAAATTAAGAAATGATTTCAAGCCTCATAACTCGAAAAGTACTCAATAAAAAAATATTTTATTATAGTTTGGAAAGCTCTCGAGATAAGCTACAAGAATATGTAATGAGGAAATGTAGGTTCCATTTAAGAAATTGAAGGTGACCATCATGTGACCTTCAAATAACTCTTCAAGGTCAAACCAATGGTACCATCTTATGTCCCCCTAGAAACCATACAACTTTTGTCTGAAACATTTTTTTGATTTTTCATTATTTTCCGAAATATTTGGCTAGGGAAATTAAAATGGGCCACCCTGTATATGCACACAAGACACATTAATATAAGACATATTAAGCGTGTTTCAAAATTCACTGCTAATACTGCCAGTATGTTGTCATCTTTGTTTAGTACTAGTATTCAGTAAACAAAACAAGAATAGGACAACAATAGAATAGGATAACAATAATATTTTATCTGGAAAATTGCATGTTTAGGATATATGTTCGAATATAATCATATATACTGTATATACACTTCACTATATATGTTATATATAGAGAGATTATCCCAGAGCACTTGTGCCAACGCTCGTGAGCAGGTAGAGCGCGGTAAACTAAACAGAAAAGTCCTGTACCATTTTGCGATTTTCGCAATAATTATTAAAATATTAATTAAAAACGCTCAGCATATGTTGAGCGCTTTATGTCTATCTATATATCTTCTTTCAAGAAGATGACTTAAATACAAATCGAAACGTCCGCTCTTAAATTGTCTAAACATCTTTCTTTTATTAAATTTGAAGTTTCAACTATTAACGTTTTCTATTGGTCTTTTTAATCTGTATAACTCGTTACTTATAATGATCTTCGGCTCTCTATGCCTGTCTTAATCATTTATTTTATCATATCATTCTTTTTTGATTAATATTTTAATAATTATTGCAAAAATCGCAAAATGGTACAGGACTTTTCTGTTTAGTTTATCGTGCTCTACCTGCTCACGAGCGTTGGCACAAGTGCTCTGAGACACCCTGTATATTGTATATTATATATAAATATATATACTACTATATATATTTACTACAGAATAAAAATAACTATCTTTAATATTATAATTGATATAAAGGCATTTTTCGGTACTTAAGTATTTTAATGAAAAGTATATTAACACGTTGACTGCCATGGGGGCCACCGGTGACCGGCGACGCAGCAAATAATAAAAGTACATAATTATAGTAAATATGGATACTGATAAATTTTTCAATAATACCATTGTTACTATAATGGTTTGAAGAAATTAATGCAATATAGAACATACAAAAATAATTTTATTACTACATGAAAAATATACATATTATCAGTGCATATTGTGATGAGTCAGATTGAAACATTCAAGACAAAGAAAAGGTGAATCAACGCAATCGGAACAATATGTCACCACTTTTTTTAGTAGAATTCTTTGCTCCAGTTCTTCCTAGCTGCTTTGAATTTTTGTTATAGCACGCCTTACAAAATCGCCTTACATTTCGTGCATTTCCCGGCATTTTTTTAAATTCATGACGAGGTCTGCTCTGTACGCGTTTTTTTGGAGAAATACAATCATTATCGGAGCATTTCATTAGATACATTGCTAATTTCATCCTAAAATCAGGAATTGCAATATTTTTCCGGGTTACTTGTTTGAATAACACTATTGAATTTACAATACAAGTATTTAGTAAAAGTTCTATTGCCAGTTTCTTGTACCATTTTATAGTTCTACGCAGTGGTGAGCTATAAGCAATCATTTGATCAGATAAGTCGACTGAAGATTTCCCTAAATTATATTCAACTACCATTTTTGGCTTTTCTTTTGTATAGTTTCTTTTCTGTATAGTTGTCATTTCTGCTGAATGTTTTGTAGATAGCATCAACACATCTCTTTTATCTTTCCATTTTAAGATAGTTACTCCATTTTTATTTTCTCGCGCGATAACATCTCCACGTTTTAATTTTTGGGCCACTACTTCTTTTGGATTGCCGCGCCGATTTTTTCGTAGAGTACCCAATAAATGTGTACGCATATCAGTTAATCTTTCCGCCAGGTCAACGCTTGTGTACCAATTATCTGTGCAGATAGTGTGGCCTTTGCCTAAAATATCTTGACAAAGAGCCATCACAATCTCAGTCGACTTATTTCCAGATATTTCATTTGTATTTTCGTCTTTGCCCGTGTAGATTCGAAATGAATAAGTATATCCTGGCCCACTACATAATTTAAAAACTTTAATGCCATATCTGTGACGTTTTTGTTTTATATATTGGCGAAATACTATGCGGCCTCGAAATGGCACTAAGGATTCATCCACGCATAGTATCTCATCTGGTTTATAATATTTCTTAAAATTACTGTCAATCAAACTCAAATGATTGATAATAGGAGCAACTTTAGATAATCTATTTTTAGGATCATTTTCTTCATTATTGCTGAAATGAACAAACCGCAATAACAATTCGAATCGATTTCTTGGCATAATTGTGCGTGGAAGTGTCAGGTTATATCCTTCATATTTACTCCAATACAACTCAATTTTCGGTAATTGCACTAATTCCATCCATATAATTAGACCAAAGAAACGTTTTATTTCATTAGGATTTGTTTCATACCATTGATCTAAACGATGCGATTGCAGTTCTGATTTCCTTTGCTTAGCATAGATGTTCGTTTGCTTTGCAATAATTTCGAATATTTCATCAGTAACAAAAAGGGAATAAAAATCATGTGGTTCCGTACAAGCAAAAATTTCTGATTGACATGTGTTGATACCTGACGAATCAGAAAATGTGATGTTGGTTTTATTACCTAACGTAAATACTCCAATTCACATCAAACTCTTCTGGTATATCATCTTCATTGTTATCGCTATCTTCAGTTTCACTGTCAGACTCAATTCGGCGCCGACGTACCATGGAAGCTCTTATCATATCCGATGAACTACTCAATGAACTTTTCTCGCTGTCTGATTGCAGTCGCAGTATTTTTGAAGGTCTTTGTAAAACTGCACCGTCAGATGATGTACTTGATGAATAATCTTCATTTGAAGCCATATTTTTAAGGGCTAATTAAAAAATTGAATAAAAGATATAAAATGCAAAAACGTATGTAGAGTGAAAAAATATAACAAACGCACTTACTTGTTTGTAGAACGCACTGAATAAGACTAAATAATGAGATAATAGACAATAATCACTTAGCAACCGAAGCACGATTGTTTGAAAAAAGGACAATCGTAATAATTGTTTACAACGCCGTGAGGGTCACCGGTGACCCCCACCACGAAAAATGCTTCAAGCATGATTTTATAACTCATTTTATTTGCTGCAAATAATATTTCAACATAATATGCATCGCATAATGAAAAGTTCACGTCGGCGCCTTGGGCAAACCATGGAAAATGCGTCTGGCAGTCAACGTGTTAAATTAGAAATATATATATAAAGTTTATATTTAATAGAAATCGTTACTAAAGATCCCTTTTTGGAAATATATATGATTCATGATATATATACATCAATACATATTAATTTCCTAAGATAAATGTCGGAACGCAGCTTGTGTTAAGCGGAAAGCATACACTTTTGCATAAATACATAACGCATATGCATAATGAATTTAATTGATTGAATAGATTAATAAATTAACCAATCAGTTTTTTTATGTATATGTATTATGCGTTATGCAAGAGTCTGTATTCTAGCCCTTACACAGTGTCTTGCTGAAACACCAATTGACACTGTTATGTGTATAAAGATCACTGTCACTGATCCTGGGGCCCTATTCTTGAAATCGTGGGAAAAATTAACGTATGCGAAAGTGACGCTGCGTGATCTTTGATTGGTGTATACTCTTAGATCTAAAAATATACACCAATCAAAGATCGCGTAGCGTCACCAATAGAATACCGGAAGCTGCCATTAAAATCATAAGACAGACAAGAACAGCGAGATCATTCGATGTCTGTCTAAACAAAGAACGCGAGATCATTCAATCTCATTGTCTTTGTCTTTGTCTGTTTTTCTTTCTTATTCTAATGTAGACCCAGGTCGATTTTAATGGCGACTTCCGATTTTTTATTGGTCATAGCTTTTTCACCCTATCCCATATCCAGTTAGTCTTTGGAATTGCCACTTAATATTATGTGGCAGTTCTAAGGACTTTAGAAAAATAATAGTAAATGCTTGTGTTTTTAATGCTAAAGCTTACGGCATACGATGCTTATTTTCGTACTAGATCGCATCCAAATGCTATAACTAACTCATCAATTGTAATTTCAATATTACAGAATTTTCAAAGCGATGATGCTCCCAGAAAAAAAGTCCATACAAAATTGACCATATATGGATTTTATCAATATCTGATCATGTCATGGCATATATAGTATATAATATAATATCATATATGATTATACCATAAATGAATAAATAATAATATATGACTATATTTGGCAAGATATGATCAGATATTGATAAAATCCACATATGACAAATTTTTTATGGATTAGAGTTTTTTTGTAATCGCTAGTGAATAAATAATCAAAGGTTACAAGTCCTTTCAAATTCAATATACCAGATTAGCCAAATTTTATTTTACTAAGATATAGATTCTCATTTCGAGAATTCTGTATACCCCTCTTTACCCCTCTAAAGAGACGTAGGCAAGAAAAATATCAGGGCGAAGTCGCTGAATCGGGAATCGAACCCAAGTTTTTCGCTTGCCGAGTGACTGCTCTTACCACTGAGCTATTCAGCCCCACATTTGTAGTCAACGCTTGCCGCGCGGCAAAAAGCGACGTGGTAGACAATTACTGCACGTGAAATGTCGAATTCGATCCAACTTTTGTTGCGCAACAAGCGTTTCCGCGTCCTGTGGGCAGAACTCCTATGACGTAAGCAATAAGCGAATCGGCCATTACGATCGAGTATTAAAGCAATCATAAGTTTACGGCTACGGATTTTGTGTGGAAGCCTTTAATTTTTCTGCATTAATACAAATTAAATACGTTTATTCTTACAATACAAACTATTTATAAAAGTCCCTTAATAATGTTAATAATCATTTTCTATTTTCAGATATTACATTGCAAAGAGCTCAGTTTTTTATTATTAAATTTATTGAAAATATGTTCCGGAAGCTGCCATTGTATATTATCTCGCAGTTTTCAGGACTATTCAGAAAAGGAGATTTTGTGTTCTGAAAATCATTAAAACAATTATTTAAATAATTAATGTCCACAGTAATTTCTGCTTTTATTTATTTTATATATAAAGTAATTTAACGAATTTTAGTTATATGTGTTTATTGAAATCAAAAATCATTCCAATACATTAGATTTCCATAAAAAACAATTTTTAAGGATATTTATAATACTGCCTCATAAATGATATACAAAAATGACATATATATATTCACAAAACATCGAAGTATATAAATTGTAAATTATTTCGCTAATATCAAAACACTTTAATCAAATTTTTAAACGTTTATGTAAAATACTTGATATTATTGATAATATCAATATATTCTTCAATTACGGATCTCTCTATTTACAATTATTGTTCATGGATATCCAAAAGTCAGGATCTATAATATATTACTTCATTGCTCTATAATTACCTCGTGTCGAGTTAAGATGGCTGATGTTTAAGATAGTTAATTTTTAATTATATTAGCTAATAGTATATTTTATTTCGTTTAAGAGTCATTTCATTCGTTTTTTATATATAGCTGAATCACATTATACGAAAAATGTCACAATATATATTATACTTTTGTAATGATCATAAGTATCATGTAACAAATATAAAACACAAAAGAACAAACATTAAATGTACGGTTAATAAGAATCGTAAAAAAAATGTATTACACATGTAATTGCACAGAATAGTAAGTATCATTTTTTATATGTAACGTAATATATAATTTTTCCAATGCAAGAGCGTATATATTGTGTATATTGAGCATAGCAACACATAACCTTATTAAATTATAAATATTTACTATATACATATATTACATTACACAAGATTATAAATGATTATAAATTAATATCAATAAATTATAAAAATATATTGGTATTTGCACAATATCATATTTTTTAATCTTTTTAGTTAAATTTTCATAGCAATATGTTATCTTCTAGTTGTAATTATATACTTTACTTTTACAGAAAGCAAAGATGATCTTTCTGCAATTGCTAAAAATTTGAATGCAAATAATCCATACATTGTTCTGGAAAATATAAATTCAATTGTTAATAATAATAGTAAGTTTTACAGTTTTATCAAATTCTGAAATTATGTGTAATATATTATGTTTTTATTTTCCTAATTATATTTCTATTTTTTGCAGTAATACCACAAAAAAAATTTTCCATACTAATATGAGTTGTATTAATAAAAATATAAATACTGATAATTTTAGTAATGTAATTGAATTTAACAACAATAAAATATTCCTTGATAATGGATATAGTCACAATGCAACAATAAGTAATGCAAATAATAAAAAGAATATCAATGATTCTACAGAACATGTTGACTCTGTTAATGCTATATCTTCCAAAAACTGTGGAGTAAAGGCTGTGAATTTTAATGTAACAGTTTCCTGTGATAATAGCAATAATTATAACGAAACAGTAGATATTAATAATTCTAAGAATGTTTATAATTCTGATGATAATATTTTATTTTCTTGCAATAATGACAAAGATCATACTAGCATAGTAAATAGTACTCTTGGTGTTAACAATTCGACGATTGGTGTCCATAATTCAAATAACACTTTTGATAATAATATGATAAATTCGCATGAATGCAATGGCAATAGCTATAAAGCGATAGATGATGATATCGGTACCAATAATTCTATGAATATTAATTTTGATAACAATGTATCAGATTCCTGTGATAATAACAAATGTCATAATATAGTTGAGCATAGTGCTATTAATGTCAACAATTCTACAAACACTGATTTTGATAATAATATGATGAATTCTTGTGATAATGAACATGCTCACGAAAGAATAAATGGTGAAAGTTATGTCAATAATCCTACGAAACATGTTGATTGTGATAATGCCATGATATTTTGCAAAGACTGTAATAATGAGCATAATAGAGTAAAGATTGTTGATCATAAGATTGTTAATCTTAACGTATCATTTTCCTATGATAATGGCAACAGTCAAAAAATGATATATGGTGATATTAATGTCAGCAAATCGTTGAATGACGACAATATACCACTTTCCTGTGATAATGATAGAGATCGTAGCATAGTTCATAGTGCTAACAATTCTACGAATGACACTGATTTTGACAATAATGTGACGTTTTCTTGTGATAATAACAACTGTAACATTATAGATAATGATATTACTACTAATAATTTTATGAATAATAATAATTCCTGTAACAATGTGACATTCACCTACGATAATGATAATATCAATAATTCTGAAACTGGTGTAATTCTCAATGATGTCATGATATTTCCCTTTGATAATAATTCTAGTATATTGAATGATCTCACTAGTGCCGAAACTTCTATGAATCACACACACAGTGATAGTGATAATCATATAACATTTTCATGTGATGACAATACTATTGACAACATTGTTTGTGCAAACACAACGAATATTTCCGAATATTTACCTTCGGAAATTACAACTGAAAGAGAATCTACAGAACATGATGTCAGCAATAACATATCTACAACTAATAAAAAAAACATATCTGCATCTGATAAAAATAGTTCAGCTTCACTGATAGATATTTCTTCTATAAACACATTTGGTTGTCGAGAAGACAATTTATTTGTTCCATTTTCTATATCTAAGGGCCTTCAGAAAAAGAATTTTTGTTACTATTGCAAAAAATTTCAAAGCAAAATTGCACGTCACTTAGAAAATGTACATAAATCGGAACCTAAAGTTAAAAAATTTGTATTGTTACCAAAAGATAATATTTTATATAATTCTTATAATTCTGTAGAATTTTAAATATATGTACACAATTTATATATACATATATACAATATATATATATACAATAAAATAATATATATATATATTTAAACACTATATACACCTATACACCTATACACGATAAGATACACATTTATATATACAATACTTTTAAAATATATGTACAACATGAATACATAGTATAATACATAATATATGTATGAATACATAATATAATTCATATGCACTAAAATCCTGTAAAATTTTATTTTATATTTTTTATAAATATTATTAATATTGTTAATATGCTTGTAATTTTATTAATTTATATAATTTAATATTTTATTTTTATTCTAGGTAATTTAGAAAGAAAAAAAATTATAGAAACAATTAGGAGGAAGGGTAATTTTATACATAACACAGATCCTTCTATAAACACGGGAGAGTTAATTGTTTGTCGAAGGCCAACTAGAAATAGTTGTAAAACAGTATAAAATTTTACGTGTTGTGCAAAGTGTAAAGGATGGTTCACTAAAAATAATATCAGACATCACTTTAAGAAATGTATAGATGTAGGCACATCCAACAGCAAAAATGTACAAGTCTTAGGACGTACTGTGATAGGAAGAATCCATGAATGTGCAAGTGAAACAGTAAGAAAAGTTTTATTCCCAATTTTGAGGGAAGATGATGTTACGCGATGTACTATATTAGATATGATAAATTATTAATAACATATGCAACCAAACTATGCATTAAGTACAATCATCAACATCAACAAGATATGATTCGTGCTAGACTTCGATTATTAGGACGGTTTTTTATCGCAGTAAAAGAGTATAGATCTAACGTGACAGAGTTTACTGACATATATGATCCTTCCATGTATGATGATTGTCTTAAAACAGTAAATAAAATATCTCATTTTGATGCTGTTAATAAAAAATATGGTACACCATCAGTCGCATCAAATATTGGGACATACATAAAAAAAAATTGGTAATTTGTTAATAAGTGAGTGCATAAAAACAAATGATGTACAAAAGCAAAACACCACAGAAAACTTTTTAAAATTAGTACAAGAAGATTATGGGATATCCATAAACAAAACAGTAGAAGAAAATGTAACACAACATAAAAGACAGAAAAAAGTTATACTTCCATCTACGGAAGACATAAAAAAGCTACATTTATACCTAAAAAGCGAAAGAAAAGTATTATATACAAAGCTCCAGAAGAAATTTATGTACAAAACATGGCTAGAACTTGCAAAAGTTACACTTACATCTACACAAGTTTTTAACAGAAGAAGAGCAGGAGAAATTGAACGTGTTACTATAGAAGATTTTAATACTCGCGAAGGTATAACAAAAGAAACTTATTTAGATTTATATAAATCATTAGGAACAAATTTGCAACAGGTAAATTATTTTTATGTATAAATGAAATACACATAAATTGTAATGCGTAATATACATATATATATATATATACAGCGTGTGTCAAAAGTTCCGGGACGGCTGGATAATTTGAAAAATACGCATCACAGAGGAAAATGACCTAGACAAAAGTTGTAGGATTTTTCCCAGGCAATCCGACGGTGACCTTAGATTTGACCTTGGATAGTCATTTGAAGGTCACATAAAGATTACGTTCAATTTCTTAAATGAAACCCCCTATTTTTCATTGCATATTCTTGTAGCTTATCCCGAGAGCTTTCCAAAACACTATAATTAAGTACCTTTTTATTAAGTACTTTTTGAGTTATAAAGCTTGAAATAATTTCTTAATTTTACATAAACCATAAAATATCTAGTAAACCATTCATTTTTCGATTATCTTACCTTCATACTTTTATGTACAAAATAATGAGAGGAATCAATTGGTGTAAAGAAAACATACAGTTGTTTTTAAGAAAAAATATGGAATTGTTAATTGCAAATTACATATTTTTTCTTAGAAACAACTATGTGTTTTCTCGAGATAAGCTACAAGAATATGCAATGAAAAATAGGGGGTTCCATTTAAGAAATTGAAGGTAATCTTTATGTGACCTTCAAATGACTATCCAAGGTCAAATCTAAGGTCACCGTCGGATTGCCCGGGAAAAATCCTACAACTTTTGTCTAGGTCATTTTCCTCTGTGATGCGTATTTTTCAAATTATCCAGCCGTCCCGGAACTTTTGACACACGCTGTATATATGTAACACAAAGTAATAATTTAAATAAATTTTTGTATGTTAGATTGCTAATAAATACGTCAGATTTTTAATTCGTGGGAAATTAGGGCGTACCGTGCCTGTCATATTAGATATGGAATTAGTTCAATGTATTGAACTAATTTTGAAGCATCGAAAGGATACAAATGTTCCTGAAAAAAATCCATATGTGTTCGGCATACCTAGTAATACTAAACGTTATTTTAAATATTTAAGAGCATGTGTCCTTATGCGATATTTTTCTAAAAAATGTGATGCACAAATACCACATTCATTAAGAGGCACTGAATTACGCAAACATATTGCTACAACTTGCATTACGTTGAATTTATCTGAAAATGAAGTGGATGATTTGGCTAACTTTATGGGACATCATGAAAAAATTCATAAACGTCACTACCGGCAGTCAATACCAGCATTAGAGATTATCCGTATGACAAAATTTCTTGAAACAGCGTTAGGTGAAAATGTGCAACAGCAATCCAATAATAGCGATTCAGGTATTATGTACTATACTATTTTTGTTATTTTATGTGATATTTCAAAGTTATATATATATATATATATATATATATATTTACATAAGTTTTTTATAATAGATATTAACTATTCTTTTTTAATTTCTAAAATTATCTTTTAATTTCTGTATTTTACTTTTTTATTATATATAGTTAATCAGAAAACAAAATCAAATGCATTTATAAATTAGTTTACAAAAGCTCAATGTGCTATAACTATGGATATATATGAAATGGAACAAAATAACAATGAATACAACAATAAAATATTTCAGTCTTAATTTGGATCTTCTTCATTCATCAAAATATGAATATGTTAAGTATGATATACTGAAGAAAATCTAAATAAAGACTGAGACGTTTCATATTGTTGCATTTATTGCTGCTTCGCTTAATTTTTACGTATCTACATCTATGATTGTAGCACATATTAGTCTTATAGTGAATTCGGCATACATGCACTAACTGATCTGATCTAGTGCTGTTTCGATGGTGCGAGCAGAACTGTGTCCGTGCAGTATCAAACTGCACTGTCAGAAAAGTCAGTGCAACATTTTTTGCTCTCGTACAGTTTTTTTTTCATTTCCGAATATAAATTCGCCATTAAAGCATTTTTCATTTGCTGAATACAACAATATGAATGCATTAGAATTGTGAGCACAAATCGAATATGTGGTATTGAAAATATTCATTCGCACTCAGTGAGCACTAGTACACTGTCCGTCATTAATTCAGATATGTTGCATATCCTATATAAATTCACTCGGGGAATGGAACGAATTAATGATGAGCAGTGTACAAGCGGTCGAATTCGCTATTAGTTTCATGAATCGATTTATATATATTTATATAACAATTATCGTAGTATTATATTATTATTAATAGAAGAGAAAGGTACAAGAACAGATACGTCGAATGAAGCATCGGACAGCGAAACATGTATGATAAATTCACGTGAGCCTCTTTCAGTACAATCTGGAAAAAACAAATTTTCTAAAATTTGCATAACAAATAAACAACAAAAATCTATAAAAAGAAAAATTAAGCATCAAAATCATGCAATTATATATAACGACAATGATGAAAATTATTCTCCAAACATAAAAAAACGTCGCAGTAGTAAGTTTATTTTCTTTTTTATTTTACATAGCTTTCATAATCTATAAAAGATCATATACTCTTAAATATTATTTAGTTTTACTTTTACATAAACAATGTCAAAGCATATATTATTATAAGTTCTAATGTGTAATGTAGATTGATACAATTTTAATACATTTTAATAAACATATTTTGATATATATATTTTGATATATATAATAAATATATTTTTATAATAAATAAATTTTTTATTTAAAAAATGATAATGAACAATAGTCTATATTAGCTAAATTTAAATTATTTAAATTATTCATATTTTTTATTAATGTATTATTTTTTAATTTTTAGGAATATTTTTTAGGAATATTTTAAAGTAAAACATTAGTAATAATAATAATAGCTTTTATTGCCCACTTGCGGGGTACAGCACGGACCTCCGCTTCGCTTACATAACTCTTTAAACTTATAACCTAATACCGCAATTACCAGAGAGAGAAAGAGACACACTTTATCATTCATTCATCCACTCCCTCCACTCATTCCTCTGGACCTCCGTTTCCGCCGCATTCTTTCCTTCCATTCGCTCCTCATCCATCCTCTCTTTCCCCCCTCCCTCTTCCCTCCCAACCCTCAATTCCTCCAATTCCTTCATCCACCTTTCTCCTTCTCCCCCCTCCCCTAACACCTTATCCACCATCTCTTGCCAACCCTTCTCCACTCCCCATCCCGTACATTCCTCCCACACATGCTCCCACGTCTCCTCCCTCCCCTCACAAACCCTACACATCCTTCTCTCTATCCTCTCCCAATATTTACCTCCCCTCATACCATCCCCCAACCTGAACCTTGCTATCCTTTGCCATCTTTCCTCCCTCCATAGTAAAACATTAG